AAGAAAAACCAAAACAACAACAACAACAACAAACAAACAAATACCTGAGGAATATTTAAAGAGATTCTGTTAAAAGTCTGAGTTAAGGGCCAGGCGCGGCGGCTCACGCCTGTAATCCCAGCACTTTGGGAGGCCAAGGCGGGTGGATCACGAGGTCAAGAGATCGAGACCATTCTGGCCAACATGGTGAAACCCCATCTCTACTAAAAAATACAAAAATAAGCTGGGCGTGGTGGCGCGTGCCTGTAGTCCCAGCTACTTGGGAGGCTGAGACAGGAGAATCGCTTGAACTCGGGAGGCGGAGGTTGCAGTAAGCCGAGCTCACGCCACTGCATTCCAGCCTGGTGCCTGGTGACAAAGCAAGACTCTGTCTCAAAAAAAGTCTGAGTTAAAACAGTTGACCACCTCTTTTCTTATGCTCCAAATCCCTTGAAATGACATATTTTAAAAGAACCAGAGTCACAACAATGAAGGAATACAAAAAAGAACAGTATCAGAATATCAGTGATTTTGAAAAATTTCTCATCAGTTACTCAGAGTGGTTCTCAAAGTGTGGTCCCCAACACTAACCACATCAGCCTCACCTAGAAACCTGTTAGAAAGGCAAATTCCTGAGCCACGTGCCAACCCTTCTGAACCATTGACTCTGGGAGTGGGACTCTGCAATCTAGATTTTAGCAATCCCTCCAGGTAATTCTGATGCACACTAAAGTTTGTGAACTACTGTCAAGCTGATCAGACCAACAACAGAGGAAAACCTCAGCCCAAACTAGCCCTGGAGCCAACAATCAGAAAGGTCAGAGCCAGCCCAGGGATGCTGTAAGTTCAGAGTAAGGAGTGACAGGAAGCGAGGTGTGCAGCTGAGAGTCAAGCCTTATCTTCCTCACCTCCAAACCGAGTGGTGGGTGGGACTGGGAGATAGTCTGCCAAGGAGAGAAGAGCTCCATCCTCAGAATAAAGCGTTCTGTATTCTGGCAAAGAGATGGGAATGAAGAAGGGACAAGAGCCTAGATCTTCCGACCACTTTCCATCCGGGTCCTCTAAACCAGGGGTCCCGAGGCCCAAGTCTGCAGACGAGTATCAGTCCATGGCCTGTTAGGAACCAGGATGCACAGCAGGAGGTGAGCGACTGGCAAGCGAGCGTTATCTCCTGAGCTCCACCTCCTGTCAAATCAGTAGCAGCATTAGACTCCTAAGAGGGCAAACCCTGTTATGAACTGTGCATGCAAGGGTTCTAGGTTGTGTACTCTTTATGAGAATCTAATGCCTGATGATCTGAGGTGAAAGTTCCCCCTGCCCTGTCCGTGGAAAAATTGTCTTCCATGAAACTGGTCCCCGCTGCCAAAGAGGTTGGGGACCACTGCTCTAAATCTTGCCAGTTAACAAGCTCCCTTCTCAGTCAAGGTAAATGCAGAAAGACGGCTTATACAAATGCAGGGAAAACATACACCAACTACCAATATATTAATCAAGGACTCCCTCTTTCCTAAGAGGGAACATTTAAGGACAACAGATAGCACACAGAACCACTGACAATCAAAAGGGAAAACAACTCAAGGAAAAGAAAATGTGAGAATTCTGGTTGATCTCTTCTGAGATGTAAGGGTACTATAGGTATGAAAAAAGAATTAGAGGCTGGATGTGGTGGGCACTACTTGAGGTCGGGAGTTTGAGACCAGCCTGGCCAACGTGGTGAAACCCCGTCTCTACTAAAAATACAAAAATTAGCCGGGTGTGGTGGCATGTGCCTGTAATCCCAGTTACTCCCGAAGCTGAGGAAGAATCTCTTGAGCCCAGGAGGAGAAGTTGCAGTGAGCTGAGATAGTGTCACTGCACTCCAGCCTAGGTGACAGAGCAAGACCCTGTCTCAAAAAAGAAAAAAGAATTAGAGATAGCAATCTTGAATATTTAAATACAAATTAGTAGCCAGGCAAGGTGGTTCACACCTGTAATCCCAGCACTTTGGGAGGCCAAGGCAGAACTGCGTGAGCCTGGGAGTTTGAGACTAGCCTGGGTAACATAGTGAGACTTCATCGCTACAAAAAATTAAAATTAAAACTAAAGAAATAGCCAGGCTAATAGTGGTATGTGTGCCTGTGGTCCCAGCTAATCAGGAGGCTGAGGTGAGAGGATCACTTGAGCACCAGAGTTTGAGATTACAGTGATCTATGATTATGCCACCACACTCCAGCCTGAGCAACAGAGTGATACCCTGTCCCTAAAAAATAAAAAATAATTACTAAACTTAAAATGAAATAGAAAAGCTGAATAATAAGGTAATGGATATGTCCAAAGAGTGAATTAGTGTTCTGGAAGGTGATATTTGAAGAACTCTTTCAGAATAAATAGATCAAGACAAAATACAAAAGTACAATGAAGAAGGTAAGTTAATAGGTCTGACATCCACCTAAGAAAAATAATTTAAAAAAATCATATTTAAAATTGACTTTAGTACAAGAATGGTACAATGACCCAGATGAAAGGACTGTGGTGTATGCACCACGAACAACAAATGTCCCACAGATCTAGACACAAATTGGTGAAATTTTAGGACTCCAATCATAAAAAGAAAACCTAAAAGTTTTTCATGAGGAAAAAATAGGTTAATTACCAATAAATAGAGGTAATCACATTGGTGTCTGACTTTAATCAGCAATACTGGATAATGGCAAATGAGTTATTGCTTCCAAATTCTGAAGGAAAATAATTTTGAGTCTAAAACCGTAACTCAATCTTAAAAATTGTAAATTGAAGATTCAACATTTAATTACTTGAAGATATGCAGCAGCACACCAGAAAACTAATCCTGGGATGCAAGAGAAAGCAATCAGAAGAGAACAGTAAAACTCATAGCTGCCTAGTAACTATTTACACATACACACGAAGATCATAGAGATTAAAACTAAATTAATCTCATCTGATGACATCACAAGAAGAGGCCGCTGTGAGGAATTGAAACAGCGCTAAGGGTACCGACTTAATTGGGAGATGGGTGGATAATGTGGCTGCTAATTAACTTTAAACATAAAGCAAAAAGGTAAACACTAAAGAAATAGCAATAGGTGTAGTTGTTTCCAAACCACTGGAGGAAAAACAAGGAGAAAATGAAGCACAAGCAATCGAGCCAATAAGATGACAAACAAAAACAAGAAAGCATGATATATAGAAAATACAAAATAAGACAGCCAGGAATAGTCCAAACGTTTTAATAATCTCAATTAATATGAAGGGATTAAATTTTCCAGAGCTGTTTTGACTATATTAAGGAAAATAGAAGTCAATTACAGAGGATATGAGAAAAAGTGAAGTATTTCATAGTTATAAAAGGCACAACTCACCAACAGTCATGTAATGCTCTTACATGTCAGAAATTGATTAAATGAACAATAAGATAGATAGGAATGTAGAAGGCAGTAAGTCTGAACAATTAACAAGCTAAATCCAAAAAAACTCGTACCCAAAATAGGCAAAGCACCCCTCTATCCCCCCAACACTCATAGAATATTTGCAAATATTGACCATATAATTCCATAAAGTAGAAGCCATACAGGCTATATTACATCTGCTTAGAAATTTTAAATATACTTTGAAATACTTTCTGGGTTAAATATAAAGACAATTGAATCTGAAATAACCATTACAAATAAACAATAGTCACCACAGCTAAAGACTGTCAGACATAATCAAGGGAGTACTCACAGGAGTACTTTCAGTCCTAAGTACATTTATTATCAGGAAACAAGAAAAACAGAAAATAAAATTATTTATATAATACACCTTAAGGCAGTGTGGGGATCAACAACATCCCTGGAGATATGGTCATCAATGAAAGTAGGCCAGAAGTCTAAATTCATTTATTAACCTTACGCCTATAAAATGCTAACCAGTAATATACAGACTGTGTTATATTTTAGAATATCAACTCAGTTGTAACAGTAGTTACTTCAGCCTGATGAGATGAGTTGGCTGGGAATCACATCTTTGAATATATCAAAATTAAACTGAGTTCCTTAAAGTCAGACATGGCCTTATTTATTTGTATACCTTGAATATAGGCACAATAGAGGCACATAGAGTAAGCACTCAACAGTGTTATAGGAATTGAATTAACTAATGTGTGAGGCAGATAATTTCCCAAAATAGGGCATTGAAGGAATAGGGTGAAATAGAATAAACAGATCTGTGTGGTGAGTACAAGCCTGGAAAACAGTGGCTAAACATGAATCTTCATCCCTGGTCTGTGATGTCACCAAGGTCACATGCCAGGTGTTCCAGGATTCTGGAAAGGATTTTACCAACATAGAGGAGCTGCTATCAGCTTTCTTACCTTTATTCCTTGACAGCAAAGATGCATGAACTTCCGTAATCACAATGTTAGGTAAAATTAATCTTCAACTATAACAGACTAATTTTTTGAAAAAAATTGGTCCCTTTTAGCTGTATGTCAAAAGGGCAGACCAATAGCCACAGCTAGTAAAATGACTAGAAAACAAAATCAAATTCCTTGGTATTATAGGAGACAAAAAGATCTCAGTAGCTTTCATTTACTTTATAATTTTTAAAAAGCTTCAATTAAGCACTTCAGTTGTATCTAAACATACAAAGAGGCCCCATCTGTATTAATATTTTAAACATTCAATATTTGAGCTATGTAAGTCGTGCTAGTAGGTGAATTTAAACATGTCCTAAACAGGGAATATTTACATTTCAAAACCTTCTGATTGTATTAATTCGATCTGGTTTATTTTAAAAATATTCCCCCTTGCTATAGAACATCTTCCTTTTCTGCATTAAAAGCAAAATGGCTGTATTTCTCTGCCCATCTTTGCTTAGCTGAATCATCCTTTTAAAAGCTTTCTTCTTTACTGCTAAACCACTATCTTCCATTCTTAACTGACACGTCAATCTTTCTTACATGAGAACAATACATTAAAATAAATACAAAGAAAAAAATTCTCCCAGCAAATATTAGATTCAATCCCAACAATACAGACACAGTCTTAAAAATCAGTTATGTATTTATTTGCATAGAACCATAGGAAAGACTTAAAATTCCAACATACATCCTATGAGGCTTACAATTTAATTACAAATCCAGTTTTAAGGGAAAAAAGGGTTTTGGTTTTCCTCTACTAACGAGGATGATACCGTTTCACATGCTTCAGATACATGTGCTGACACATCAGACACCTATGCATCTTTACTTTGCACAGAATTAGTATCCAGTCCGAAAAAGTCTTTTTTGATGATGTACCGAACACACTGCAAAATCACATTTCTTTCATGTCGAATATCTGGAGCTAGAAGCTAAAAGAAAATTAAAAAAAAAAAATTAACTGGTAAATAAATTATATCTGGGAAATACAATCTAAAATATTATTGCATGTACCCTCTCCTTATAAAGACAGAACAATAAGAAGTATGTATTATATTTACTATTCACTAAAAAATGATCCAAGAACATGTCCTTTAAATTTACATCAAGACTATCTAGCTTTTTAAACAGTACTAATGCTCATATTTGGAGTCCTCTCTAGGAGTATCTAGCATAAAACAGGACAATGGGTTTAAAAGTTTGCAATCTTGGCCGAGCGTGGTGGCTCATGCCTGTAATCTCAGCACTTTGGGAGGCTGAGGTGGGCGGATCACCTGAGGTCACGAGTTCAAGACTATCCTGGCCAACATGGTGAAACCCTGTCTTTAATAAAAAAAGTCTGCAATCTTTTAATTTAAAAATTATGTCAAAGAGGATTGCCCAAACCCAAATTCATAAGCAGTCTAGAAATTGATAAGTAAATCTATTTACGTATAACAATGAAAATAGCAGTAAAAAATTCCAATATTCTTGGACTTTTATAACTTTCCATTTTTATGCTTATTGTAATTAAAAGAAAGCTAAAAATCAATGTTATTTACAATAAGCACATAATCAAGGAATCGTATAATTTGCCAAAAAGGAATTTATTTTCTGATGTGGTTAATATAGTTCAGAAACATCATACAGAAACTTTCAGTGGAAATATTAATTTACCAATTATAAGGTAACATTTAAAAAAAATGTAATAGTATATTTCGGATCCATTTTAATCGGAAGCAACTGTGTCTACATATGGCACCTCAAGAGGGTAGCCACTGAACACTTTAGCTACAAAATAAGCACTTATCTTTTAAGTCAAAACCAAACAAACTTTTCACAGAATGTCAGCAGTTTTACAACTCCACTAAAAACTGTGGAATACTTCTGCTGCTTAGACATAAAAATCTTTGATCTTTGAATAGCTTCATGTCCACTACTGAGAACTCAGATGCACTACTTCTTCTTCACAATTTGAAGAAAGCTATTAGATTTTTGAGCACATAATACAGAGAATAAAGCCAAGAATGCACAAAATAAACAGAAATAAATAAAGGTATACAAAGAAAAAAATTAGCATGGTAGTGCATGGCTGTAGTCCCAGCTACTTGGGAAGCTGGGGCGGGGGGTCACTTGAACCCAGGAATTCGAGGTGGCAGTGAGCTATGATCACGCCACTGCACTCCAGCCTGGGTGACAAAGCAAGACCCCAACTCTTTAAAAAAAATAAAGTGGGACAGGGAGGCAGGGAAGACAATCCCAGAAGAAAACAAATGAGAATTGTCAGAAAATCTTCGGCCTTTTCTTTCTGTTACTTTATGGTTCTCAATAGACATTTGCATTAAAAATCTTTTTTTCCCTTCAGCTTGCCATTGTACTTTTAGCTGTGCTTTCACTGGAAACTTAAAAGTCAATAAACCTCAACACATACTTCCTTACCAAATAGTCAAACCTAGATTCTTTTAAGTGGCTCTAAAAATTTTATTATTCTACATTCACTGAACATACCAGCTATATGCCAAATGTAGCTGCAGAATTAAGATACAAAGTCTCCAAGGAGAATGTGACTCTGGTAACCCTAAAACAAACACACACACACACACATACACACACACACACACACACACACACACACACACACACGCTCTATCTTTCTGACATGAGAACACAAAGATTAGAACCTAAAGAAAAATAATTTACCATTTCCAAGAGATATGGATGGTGTGTTCTTGGTTCAAATAATGTTCGATAGTTTTGATAATCTTTTTTCCTCTTAGGTTTTGTCTTTTTAAAACTTTTCTTTCGGTTCTCACTCTTGGCTTCTGAAAAATTTCTAATAGTTGCTTTAACATCTTGACTTGGACTCTTAGGACTACTGCTGTCAAGAACCTGGTTTTCTGCCAGAACATCTGCTTCAGTCTTGATGGGAGTTTCTAAGTATGATAAAAAAACAAACACAAAAATAAAAAACTGGTAGACCTTTCAAAAGTAACCCAAAAAATCCACAATAATCCTCCTAGCCATAATACTGGTCACTTAATAACTTTAAACTGTGAAAGATTTTTGCAAGGCATTTATAATGTATTCTGGTATTTTTCAAGTTGGGAGCTCTAACTACCAAAAATTGAGGAGACTACCACGAAGAGCTACAGAAAGTGACCTCTATGAAGGAAATAATGCCAGATGGAAATTTGGATCTATACAATGGAATGATAAGTGCTGAAAAATAAGTATGTGAATAAATATAAAAGACTATTTTGGCCGGGCTCAGTGGTTCACGCCTGTAATCCCAGCACTTTGGGAGGCTGAGGTGGGCAGATCACCTGAGGTCAGAAGTTCGAGACCAGCCTGGCCAACATGGTGAAACCTGGTCTCTACCAAAAATACAAAAACTAGCTGGGCGTGGTGGTGGGCGCCTGTAATCCCTGCTATTTGGGAGGCTGAGGCAGGAGATTCTATGGAACCCAAAAGACAGAGGTTGCAGTGAGCACGGATTGTGCCACTGCACTCCAGCCTGGGCAACAAGAGTGAAATTCCATCCCAAATAATAATAATAATAATAATAATAATAATAAAATACTTTATTTCTCATCAAAAGAAAAATTTTTTAAATTGACTATTTAAAGCAAAAATATTAAGTGTATGTGGAATTATAACATCTACAGAAATAAAATCTATGACAACAATAGTAAAAAGGAAGGGAGAAGGAATATGTAAGTAGTATATTGCTGTAAAATTCTACATGTGAAGTAGATAGTATCATTTGAAAGTGCACTATAAAAAGTTAAGTTGTATACCATATAAACTATAGACACACTCATAAAAAAATAAAGAAGTTAAAAGAATAAAACATATCAAGCATATACCAATGACAAGAAAGCTAGAAAGGCTGTATTAATATCAGACAAAAAAAAGACTTCAGAACAGTGAACATCACCGGGGTAAAGAGAAACAGTTCATAATGCTAAAGGGGTCAATTCATCAATAAGACAAAACAGTTAACACCTAAGAACAGACTTTCAATACACATGCAGCAAAAACTGATGGAACTGAGAAGAGAAATAGACAAATCCATCATTATGATTGGATAGTTGAACACTCCAATCTCAGTAAAGAAAAATTGCACAGAAAATGAGTAGGGATACCGAATACCATTAACAATGAACTCAAATTGACAAAGAACACCTGACCTAACACATATTCTTGTCAAGTTCATATGAACATTCACCATGTGTTGGGCCATAAAACAAGTATTAATAAATTGAAGAAACTGAAAGTTTATTCTCTGACCGTAACAGAATTAAACTAAAATCATTAACAGAAAACTAGCTAGAAAACCCCCAAATATTTAGAAACTAAACAACACACTTCTAAATAAACCATGAGTTAAAGAACAAATCATAAGAGAGATTAGGAAACATTTTGAAATAAATAAAAATGAAAACATAATGTATCACATTTGTGGACTAGAGCTAAAGCAGTTCATAAAGATACATTTGTGGCTTTCAATGCTTAAATCAGAAATGAGAAAAGTTTAAAATCAATTATCTAAGCTTCTACTGTGATGAGGTAGAGTCTGAGGAAAGAGGAAATACTGAAAAGTGAAAATCAGTGGATTAGAGTGAAAAGCAATGACAACAGAGAAAAACCAACAAAGCCAGAAGTTGTTTATTTAAAAAGATTAACAACATTAATGCATAAAGACTTTTTGAGAAAAAGAGAAAAAAAATCAATTAACAATTTGAGAAATAAAAGAGGAGAACATCATTATATATCCCACAGATATCACAGAAAATATTATGAACTATATACCAATAAATTAACAAGTTAGGTAAGGCAAATTCTTTTGAAAAACACAAATTACCAAAACCCACTCAAGAAGAAATGGGAAAATATGAATAGTTCTGTATCTATTAAGGAAATTTAATTCATAATTTAAAACTTTTCCCAAAAACAAAATGCCAGGTTCAGATGGCTTCACTATTGAATTCTACAAACAAGAAACAAAAAGAAAAACTGGTAGAAATCCTACACAAACCTCTGAAAAGGAAGAAACAGATCCCTACCCATACCAAATGTTACAAAAAGAAAACCACAGACCAATATCCCTCATGAAGATGTATGCAAAACTCCTTAATAAAATATTAGCAAATCAAATCCATCAATATATTAAAAGGGTAATAGATCATGACCAAAAGTAGATTTTATCCTAGGAACACAGGCTAGTTTGACAACTGAAAATCAATTAACATTTCACCATTATTTATGAATCAATGTGATATGACAAAGAATTCTAATCTAGAAGTTGGGAGACAGGGTGCAATTGCCTAGACAAGAGTGGCAAAATCTGTAAGAGTCAAACATTACATAGGACTGAATGTAGAAATTACATTTAAAAAGAAGTATAGGGACAAGTGTTAAAAGCAGACTCGTGCCAGACTGTTGAGTCCTAGTTCCATCACTTACTTGCCATGTGACCTTTGGGCAAGCTACTTCTCTTTACCTAAATTTCTTCATTATAAAATAGAGATGATAAATAAGGAAAATCAGAACACCACTTTCTCTTATCTCCTTCCCTGTCAAGTACCGATCACTCAATTCAGGAACACAAAATCAAATGAATCAGAGCTTATAATTATCAATTTCTACTAAGAATTGAGGACGGGGACTAACATTTGTATTTTTCTCTTTCTTGAGATTTACTACATTTTCCAGCTGAGTATGACATATTAATGTAATGTTCACCAATTACATTTTAAATATGGCCATTCGGTTCTATCAAACGTTTAACACTCTTTTTGGTTTGCAGCCTTCTGAAACAGTCTTTAATTTGGAAATCTTCCCATCATAGCCAAATTGGTTTGAGGAAACATAATTTTGGGGAGTTGTAAAACTGTGCTTAAATTCCAATACAGTTTTAAAAATGCTAAAATGCTAACATGCAGAACAGATATTAAACCAACCCATTTGGAAGTATTTCTTATTAAATCTATATCTTAGTGATTCTTATAGCCCTAGAAGTATTACCTCTTCCTTTGCTTGAGTCTTACTTGAGGTACCCTTTCCTTGTTTAAAAATCTTTCCAGAAAAACACTATTCACGTTTAAGATTGCAAACACTTTCATGTTAATTCTTAAGTCAAGACAGATCTTAATTATGAAGACACAATTGTTAAACTCTGGTAGAACGAAACAGACTATTCCTATACATTTAGAACCCACGTAAATAAGCAGTGTTCTAGATACTATTTCATGGCTCAAAAGCCCACTTTGTTTCCTTGGTTTATTTATTTAAAACTCCCTATGTGTCAATATCCCATCCAACAGCCCAGAATTAATACTGAAATCTAGAAATTTGCTAGCAACCTGCATGGCTTTATAAAGCTGAATTCAAACTATATAAAATAATTCTTAATACTTAGGAATGTGAAACAAGAGTTTTCTTCTTAAAGTAGGACATTTTAACAATTAGTCAAAATAACTTCATACAAAATCATATATATCTTTTAACAGATAATATCTTCTGCTGTTACATATAAAAGTCTATGTATCGCTCTGCAGGATGACAATAAATGCCAAAGACAGAAAGACAATAATGGAAAGCAAAGTAAGTTGGCTTCTTTGGACTTTTAAGTCTCCAAACCTGCATTTTATGTCAGGTCTGCTACATACTAACTTGCCAAGCTTATGTCCCCACCCCCCCCCCTTTTTTTTAGACAGTTTCTCACTCTGTTGCCCAGGCTGGAGTGCAGTGGCACAATATCAGCTCACTGCAACCTCCACCTCCTATGTTCAAGAGATTCTCCTGCCTCAGCCTTCCGAGTAGCTGGGATTATAGGCATGCACCGCCATGCCCAACTAATTTTTGTATTTTCAGTAGAGAAGGGTTTTCGCCATGTTGACCAGGCTGGTCTCAAACTCCTGACATCAGGAGATCCACCCAGCTTGGCCTTCCAAAGTGCTGGGATTACAGGCGTGAGCTACCGCACCCAGCCAAGCTTATCCTTTCTAAGCTTAAGAGTCTATAAAATAAAAAGGTGATCTCAAAGATCCCTTCTAGTTTCCTTTCTTCCTGCTAATTTAAAATAATGGCAGTCTCAAAATAAAGACATGAGTATAAAAATACTGTTCCATCTTAAGAGATAGAGAAGAAAGCATTAGTCCAGCATGTTTTTATGGGATTCTATAATTCTGGTAATAGTTTTCTTTGTTATCACCTGTTACGAATACAACTGATAAGTAGGAAATGTAATATGTGTTTAAAGAATAACTCCATCTTCATACCAGTGTATGAGAAACAAGAGTACAAAAATGCTGTTTTTCTTAAAATTAAAAAGAGGCAACCATCTGTTAAGGAATACTCTGATAAAGCCACAGCAGCTTATATTTCAAAATTTAAGTAGCTATTAAGAAGCTACCATAGCAAGCCATGACCCACTTAAAAAAGAAAAAAACTTCCCATGTTACAGATACATATAAACATTATCTTTCATATTAAAGCCTCATGGCTCCTTATTCAACATCTTCCAAATACATAAACATTGATTAGCCTAGTCAACATTAAAAGTGCTGCCATCTCCAATCTCCATCAAACTATATTTCTTTTTTCTTTTGCTTTTTTTGAGCTGGAGTCTTACTCTGTCACCCAGTCTGGAGTGCAGTGGCACTATATCAGCTCACTACAACCTCTGCCTCCTGGGTTCAAGCAATTCTCCTGCCTCAGCTTCCCGAGTAGCTGGGACTACAGGCATGTGCCGCCATGCCCGGCTAACTTTCATATTTTTTGTAGAGATGGAGTTTCACCATGTTGGCCAGGCTGGTCTCAAACTCCTGACCTCAGATGATCCACTCTCTATGGCCTCTCAAAGTGTTGGGATTACAGGCATGAGCCACTGTGCCCAGCCCATCCAATTACATTTGAATCTTCTCTTCATTCTATATAAACACTTTAAGACCTGTATTCTTTTTTTTTATTTTTATTTTACTTTAGGTGCATACTATATCTGCCATTTCTCCCCATGTTATCCCTCCCCGCCCCCAACTGTCTCTCCCCTACCCCCCGAACTGCCCCCAGTGTGTGATGCTCCTCTCCCTGAGTCCATGTGTTCAAAGACCTGTATTCTTATCCTCAGTACAGCTCCTAGTTGATTACACACCTTGTTCTGAGACATACACATGAATTCTCTCACGGCTGGTAAAGTCTAAACAAAATTACCACACAGAGCCAGGTTTCCATAATAGTAGGACATAGATTTATTCATTAAACACATGCTAGATTATTGATATAAACCTTGGATTAAAAACTGCCACACTGCATCAGATCAAGAGCCTGCTCATGGCTCTTTCAGGTAGCCCTGAAAGACATGCTGTAGGAAATTAAACTGGTTTATCACAATTAAATTTCATAGTGAAGCCTCACATATTATCATCTGTGACATTATCTTTAAAAGTAAGACATCTATCCTGAACATTACTGACTTCTCAGAAACTCTTGAAAAGATTCCAATTCTTCCAACCTTTCAAATGCACAAGCTAATGCAACCACAAGTATAGGTAAAGTTGTTGTGTTTTCCAAATGAAATAATTTATGTAAACATGCTCTAGGAAGAACAATGCCTTACACATTAAAACAATTTTCTCATACTCTTTGTCATAAAGAACCTCTCTCCATCTACCAAAGATGCTATAAACATGTTATAACAAGCATTCTTGAGAGCACAGAGAAGAAATGAATTTTCTTTTTGCCATTTTAGAATTTTCTTCAATTCCATTGGTGGATATTCTCTCTTTCCCTTCCTATTCTTTCATTATATTGTATTTTTTGCCTTTTTCTCCCAGAGTAGCAACACATTTCTTTATTACTCCAGAGTTCCTTTAACCCATGTTAACTTTACTTCTGATTCAAACGAAAAAGGAATTTGAAGACCAAATAAAGAATGCACATCCTGAATGTTATTAATACACAGTATATACCTAAGGCAAAAAGCAACAAAACCCTGTAACAACACACACCATGACTTACCTTCTGGCTCACTCTCTGACCCTGAAAGATTGCCATAGCTACTCATTAGTGAGCATAAGGCTGGTGTCACTTCCTTGGGTATGACAGAACGTTGTGGTTTCTCCTCCTTATCAGACTCTGAAAAGAAAAGAACTGAGATTCAAAAGTGTACCTCAAAACATCTACCACCATAAAAAAGCTGACCATCTCCCACTCCTTCATTTGCTAGTGAAAACTGAGTAATTTCTGATCATTTCCTCAATCTTTCCAAAAAACCAATTCTAGGAGGCCAGAAACATTCTCCCTTGGTTTACACATCTTCATGGGCAGAGAAACCATTTGCCCCAGAGGAGACAGTGGGGCAAATGGAAGCTTTACAGAGCTCAGTTACTTAGCATGCTTCACAGGTTATACAATCTGGATGTGCTCTAAGTTAATTACATAGTCTTTGCTGTTCCTTTACAGATAGTAAGAAGGCCAAAACTTTATTCAACTTCACTGGATTTGGGATCACTGACTCTGAAAATTAAGTTTAGAAATAAATAAAATATTAAAATATCTATACTTTTAATTGTTTTCAAGACTTTATCGGGATCCAAATAATATTCAAACCATTCTAGAGGCTTAGTCAAACAGAAATGCTGAAATTAATCCACCCAAAGTTTTTTTGGAGACAGAGTCTTGCTCTGTCATACAGGCTGAAGTGCAGTAGTGTAATGTCGGCTCATGACAACCTCCGCCTGCCGGGCTCAAGCAATTCTCTTACCTCAGCCTCCTGAGCAGCTGGGATTACTGGGATTACAGGCGTGTGTCACTATGCCCAGCTAATTTTTTTGTAGTTTTAGTAGAGTTGGGGTTTCACCATGTTGGCCACTCTGGCCTCAAACTCTTGGCCTCAAGTTGATCCATCCACCTTGGCTTTCCAAAGTGCTGGAATTACAGGTGTAAGCCACTGCACCCAGCCCACCCAAAGTTTTTATTAATTAAAACTTCTAAGAACTTAAATAAACAAGAAACCATGAGAATTTACCAAGTATAATAATAAAGTGCCTGCCAAAGGTAAAGTGTTTGATCTGGGCCCAGCAAGCCTGGTTGTAGCCCCAGGACAGCAACTATTACATTTCTTTCTGGCATCTCTAACAAAGTATTAACTCTATTCTAGACAACCAATAAAAATAAGGCTTCACTGAAGACAATAAGTAATTTGTCTATTTAATTAACCAACTCTACCCAAAACCAACATAAAATGTTTCAAGACTGAGCATTCAATGTTCACCAAATCAGTCTAGGGGAAACCAAAGCATGCCAATGGGAAATGGGAATATCCATTTATGTGAATATTAAACAGCCAGCTTCTGCTGAATGAAGCTAAATCCTCTCTCCTCACTACCCACCATCATACCTACAAAAGTACTCCTTGTCAGTTTTAAGCTAAAATACCTTTTCTCCTGATTAATAAAGGGAAAGTAAAGTATGCAGTTTATATATGTGAATTACTAGTAGATTAAGCAGAAATCTATCACAGTGTTAGTATGGAGACTTTCCATTCCTTGGTTAAATAATTAAAGATCATTTATTTCCAAGACTCAAAGACAGGTAACAAAAAGTACAGTAATAGTTGAATATTATGCTCTTCAAAAGCATGATCTGACCTAATTCTAGGTATGTGATGAGTGATGAAACAAAAATCCAGAGAATTTGAGTAACTTTTCCTTAGCACAACTATAAATTAGTTGGGTCAAATTTAAAGCCTGGCTATCTGACTCCAAATCCAAATTGCTATCAGTGAGCTACAATGCTTCCTACAGACATATAAAGTCTTCTTAAAATGAAGCCATCCTATCGAAGTGCTTCTATGGTCCACGATGATGTTAATAATGTCTTCCAGCTATAGCTCCATTCCCTTTTATAGTCAAACTCCAAATAGTTATTTGATATACAGTCATACCTTGGAGATATTGTGGATTTGGTTCCAGACCACTGCAATAAAGTAAATATGGCAATAAAGCAAGTCATACAAATTTTCTGGTTTCTCACTGCATATAAAAGTTATGTTTACACTACACTGTAGCATATAAAGTGTACAACAGCATTATGTCTTAAAAAACAATGTTTGTACCTTAATTTAAAAATATTTCATTGCTAAAAAATGCTAAAAATCATCTGAGACTTCAGGAAGTTGTGATATTTTGCTGATGTTGCTGGCTGCTGACTGATCAGAGTAGTGGTCTCTAAACGTTGGGGTGACTGTGGCAGTCTCTCTGCCTTGACTGCTATTCCATTAGGTTATCAGCTCCTTATTTCATTCAGATGCCTTAATGTCACCGTATCAGAGATACCTTTATTGATCACTCCAGATAAAACAGCATATCCTCTTCTCTGACTACCATTCTCTATTCTTTTATTTAGCTTCATTCATCTTTATAATTCCTTTTTTTTTTTTTTTTTTGAGACTGAGTTTCACTCTGCTGCCCTGGGTTCAAGTAATTCTTCCCTTACCCTCCTGAGTAGCTGGAATTACAGGCACTTGCCACCAATCTGGACTAATTTTTGTACTGGCCAGGCTGGTCTTGAATTCCTTACTTCAAATGATCTGCCCGCCTTGGCCCCCCAAAGTGCTGGGATTACAGGCGTGAGTCACTATGCTTGGCTCCCACATTTTCTGTATTACCTTTATAATCAGAAAATAACAGAAAAAAAAAAAAAAAAAAACAAAGGGAAATTGACCCTGAAAAACTATAATCTTCACAATCTAATTAATGAAGCAGAGGGCAATGGCCTATACAGTCCTTTCTCTCCTCCCTTCTTTTTTAAACTCTGTATTTTGAAACAATTTTGGATTTATACAAGTGTTGCAAAGATGGTACAGAGTTTTCATATACCCTTCATCCAACTTCCCTAATGTTACCATCTTACATAACCAAAGTACTTTATCACAGCTAAGAAGTTAACACTGGTACCACACTAGTATTTAAACTACTACAACAGTGTACTGTAATTTCACCAGCTTTTCCACTAATATCCCTTTTCTGTTCCAGGACACAATCTGCCATACTACATTGCATTCAGTTGTCTTGACTCCTTAATCTTCTCTAAACCTGTGACAGTTTCTGAGTCTTTCCTTGTTTTTCATAAACTTGACATTTTGAAGATTATTGTCAGGTATATGTACAATGTCCCCCCATTTGGGTCTGCCTGACATTTTTGAAGATTAGACTGAGGCTATGGATTTGGGGGAGTAATACCACAGAGATGTGCCCTTCTCATCACATCCCAGGGTCCATGATGTCAGTAGGACTAATTACTGGTAATGTTGACCATTAAGGTAAGAAAACTCTGCTTTCTCTACTACACAGTTACTATTTTTCTCTTTCATTATTCTATTTCTTAAAATGAGTTACTAAGTTTAGCTCACACTCCAGGGGAGAAGAATTAAGCTTCAACTCAAGTAAGGAGTATCAAAGAATTTTGGACATATGTTAAAACCACAGTAATTAATAATTATTGTAACTAACAAATATTTTGGGGGGAGATATTTTGAGGCTATAACAAATAGTTTCATTTTAACATTTCACCACTAATTTTACCATTCATCAGTGGTTCCTGCCAAAAACAATTATTACTGTGGTGCTCTAATGCTGACTTGCTATTTCTCTCATTTCTTCTACATTTTTAGAATTCTTTTGTAAGAAAGATCTGTCCCTCCTCTCTCATATTTGTTTAGGCACTTAGAATAGACCCATGGATATTTATTCGATGGAGGGCTATAATTTATTATTTATTTTGTGGCTCCAATTGTTCCAACTTTGGCCATTGGGAACTCTTTCTGGTATCTTTCTCACATGCCCACATCTTCACATTTTTTGAACATTTTCTTACTTTCCGGCACCTTATATTTCCCCTGTCCCAACCCCAGAATCAGCCATTTCTCCAAGAGGCTCTGGTTCCTTTACCAAGAGAATAGTATTTGGAAACCACAATTAGAGTGCCGGGTGTACTTATTCCCAGGAGTGTCACAAAGCTCACTATATTTGACTTACCCAAAGGGTAAGTCACAAATTCACACAAATAAACAACTTTTTCCCTATTTTTTCTTCTCCCCTCAGTTAAATGTTTAAGGGACACACCACATGTAGTAACACTTCGAAAAATACTGTCCTTTTGGCATTATCAGAACATCTTCTACAATGACTTTTCATCTCAAAAAAAAAAAAAGTGCCTGGGATCTACCTACCAGTTCTAATGCAGGCATTTTTAGCACCTAACTGTAAAGACTGTGCTGAAGGCATTGTACTGGCTGACAAATAATACTCAAGAAACCTCATTTTATAAAAGCAGCTAAAACATCTTTCTAAACTGAAAATATCAGTATACTGGCCGGGCGCGGTGGCTCAAGCCTGTAATCCCAGCACTTTGGGAGGCCGAGG